TTTGCTATTGTGAAATCTGATGCCATAAACATGGTTGTTCATGGATCTCTCTTGTATGCAGCCCTTAATTATTTTGGGAGTGTGCCAAAGAATGGCATATCTGACTCAAACGGTATTTCTCCGTGTAGTCTTCTGAAGGACCTCTGCACTTATTTCCATAGCAGCTGCACTAGTTTACATTCCCAATAACACAGGCTGTTCCCCTTTCCTGCACCCTTGTCAGCATTCATCTGTTTTTGTATTCTTGAAAATAGCTATTCTGCGATGAGATAGAATCTCAGTATTATCTTAATTTGCACTTCTCTGGTGATGGATAGGATTTCAGAACATTTTTTTCACATACTTTTTGGCGATTCAAGCTCTTTTTAAGAAGTATTTATTCAGTTCATTCACCTGCTTTTTTATTTTAAAGTCCATTATTTTATGGGTGTTAAGTGTTTAAAGTTCTGTATATATTCTAGATATTAATCCTCTTCCAGAAGAGGAGCAAGCAAAGCTTTCCTCCCACCCAGTGGTTGTCTCTTCACTCTGCTAAGTACTTCCTTTGCCATGCAGAAACTTTTTAATTTGATGCAGCCCCCACTTGTTGATTCGTGATATTGTTTCCTGTGTGTTGGAGCTCTGGTCAGGAAGTCTTCGCTCCTGCCTATGGCGACAAGTGCTTCCTCTATGTTGTTTCAGTGTTTCTGAAAAATTTATATCTAGGTCTTTGGTCCATTTTCAATTGATTTAAGTACAGTGTGAGGGAGGTATCCAGCTCCAGTTTTGTGCAATTTTTCCCAGTACCATTAGTTAAAGAGACTGTCGCTTTTGTTCCTTTGTCAAAAATCAGATGACTGTAGATGTCTGGGTTTGTTTCTGCATCTTCCATTGTATGATACTGGTCTGCATGTCTGTTTTGATGGTCGTGTAGCGCAGCCTGAAGTCTGGGGAGTGATGCCTCCGACCTTGCTCTTTTTGTTCGGAGTTGCTCTGAGTATTCTGGGTCTCCTCTAATTCCAGATAAAATTCAGTGTTGCTTTTTCTAGTTTCATGAAAGAATGTTATTGACATTTTTAATAGGAACTGCACTGAATCAATAGGGCAGTTGTGGTAATGCAACCATTTTAACAATTATCAATTCTACCAGTCCAGGAACAGGGGATGTCTTCCCATCTTCTAACGTCTTCTTCAATTTCCTTCAAGTTCTGTAATTTTCATTACACAGATCTTTCCCTTCTTGGCTAGGTTGATTCCTAGGCATTTAATTTTTTTGAAGCTGTTATGCATGGAATTATTATCCTGATTATCTTTCTCAGTGAGTTTGTGTTAGTGTAGAGGAATGCAATTGATTTTTGTGTTCTGAAATTAAAACTGAAGTCACAACTCAATGAATCAGTTGGTTCTTTGAAAAGATAAACAAGACTGATATACCCTCAGGCAACCTCACAAAAAGAAAAAGGCCCATATTATGAAATCAGAAGTTAAAAAGGGGAAATACAACAGACACCACTAAAATTCAGATAATTCATCAAATTATTTTCAGAATTTATACTGCAACAAACTGGAGAATCTGGAAAAAATCGATAATTCCCTGGACATATGTGACATACCAAAATTGATCCAAAAAGATAGAAAAAAACCTAAACATAACAATAACATAAACATAAGCCATGAATTGAAGCAGTAATTAAAACTACCAATGAGAAAGAGCCTAGGACTAGGTGGATTTACAGCTGAATTCTTCAGAGGAGAACTAAGAGCAAACTTTTGCATATAATGGATAAAGAATCTTCTTTCTTAATGTCATTTTCTTTTTCTTTTTTGGTACCGGGGATCGAACTCTGGACCTTGCCCTTGAGAAGCAGGTGGCAGAACCACTGAGCTAAATTCCCAGCCCAATGCCATTTTTATTTTAATGGAATTTGTAGTCATGTAATTGTAGTCCAAAAAGTCAGAACAAAAAGAACATCTTCCATACCACATGTATGTGTGTAGTTCAATGAAAATCTCTGTTTTGTACCTGAGATCACTTTTTTTTTTTTTTTTTTGAGACAGGGTCTCACTATGTAGTTGAGACTGACCTGGAATTCCCTATGTAGCACAGTCTGGTCTCGAACTCAGCAATCTTCCTGCCTCAGCCTCCTGAGTGCTGGGATGACAGGCATGCACCACTGTGCCTGGCCTGAGATTACTTTTAAGCTGAGTCAGAAGACTGCCCAACAAAAGGACGGAGCTACGAAAGAAGTACCACAGTTTGAGAAAGAGAGCTACCAACACCTATACATCCAAACTCAGGAGCCTTGAAAGTGAATACTAGATGTCGAGCATGCTGAGAAATGCAGAGGACAGAATGGATTAAATCACCACGTTTCTTCTCTAGAGAGACAACATTAAAAAAGGTCTAATCAATTCCTATTCTTTTATGAAATGGAGAAAAATTGCCAAATAAGTCCTATCCTATGAAAGTCATCAACGGTCGAACTGCAGACACTGGAGGTTGGAGGGCTGTTTAGTGTTATTTAATCCAATGCCTATGTTTTAAGACAAAGAGAAACACAGAACAGTGAAAGAATTTATTTAAAATTGCAGGTAAGACCGGAACCCAAATTTCCTGACTTCTAATCAAGTACTCCTCATATTACGCGCTCTCGGAGTCCAGTGGGCTTTTCTCATCCCTGGTTCTCCCTTTCATCAGTCTGCAGCAAATCATATCAATGAGATCCAGAGGAACAGAGCTCATGCTCTGTCCTTCTTCCTCTTCTCTCAATTTCTCAATCTTCTCAATTTCAGAGTCTCAGCATGAAAGATAACGTGATAAATTATTTTTTTGGTACCGGGGATTGAACTCAGGTCCTTGTGCTTGCAAGGCAGGCCACCGAACCGCTGAGCTAAATCCCCAGCCCCCACAATAAATTATTAAAGATTCTCTGGCATAAGCAGCAGGGAGCATCCCAACCAAGTGAGGCACAGTTCTTACCTCAGGGGACTTTACCGAAGTACAAACACTCAGTACAGCAAAGGTCAATGTGCAAAGTGCACCGTCACCCAATTACATTTCTGAATGGAAATCTTTTTCATTGGACTGTTTCATTTTCATAGCCCAGCATAAAAATCACGAAGCCTTTTTGCTACTCTGCCATGAAGGTGTGCACAACTGGTTTGTAACCTTTACTCTGCTGTGAACCAACTGTCTCTCAGACTTTGTGCAAGTCGCTCCCCTCAAGGCTCTATCTCCTCAGTGAACAAAACGAGAGTGCCAACCTCTTGTGACTCATTCACCATCCTTTTCAAATCCAATCAAACCCAAGGAGCTAACTCTAATCCCCTCCTCTCCCGGCTCCTTTTCTCTCCCCCTTTCCTTTTCCCTTCTCCATTCTTGGATTATTGTTAACAGCCTTCAAGCTGTTAGGTGTAGGTGTGACTTGTTGAAAGCAGTTTTTAAAAGGGTTTAGTCTGAAGTTATATGAGTCACACTAGAGGCTAGAAAGCCAATTAAGAAGTCATTTAGAATAAAGATCAATCAAAAACTAAAAGCTTGTCATTCAAAAGCTGGTTTCCATTGGCCTTTCTTGATTTACTTTTAATGACTCTGTGTGTTAAGTTCATTTGGGCTGCTACAATAAAATATTATAAATTGGGCGTATAAGCAACAGGAATTTCTTTCTCATAGTCATAGAGGCTGGAAGTCTGAGATCAGGATGCTGGCACAGCCAAGTTCCGGTGAGAGCTCTCTCCTTGACTGCAGCATGCCCATTTCTCACTGCGTCCTCAACACGAGGGAGGGAAGGTACAAATGGACTCTCTGGGGCCTACTTTATGAGGACCCTAATTTAATTAGGAGGGCTCCCCCTCTGGGCCCTGTTCACACCTCACCCCAGAAGGTCCCATTCTAGTACCACTGGTGGGGTGCAAACATGCAAACACAGTGTTCCTTTCCTCACATACAGCCTCCCACCCATCTTCACATCCGATGCTACTGTCCTCAGGCTTCCTGTGAAAGAAAGTTTACCTTTTCTTGTAAACTTCAGTCGAATAGTTTTTTAAAGGCCATTTTATTCCATGGAGTCAGTAATCTTTCCTTTCCCTTACTTCTTATATAAACACTTAGGGCACAAATAATAATACCCTTTCCTGACTCACTCTCATTAATATTGTAAGCATAAATAGATGATATGAAAAAATTTTTAAACCAACATAAATGGAAAAATACAATGTAAAAGGAATATAAATCATTTCCTTTATTTTCCTTCCTATTTTGCAAATTACAATGATTGGTTGTTGATCTCTTTATAGAAAATAATATGTACTTCTAAATTATTTTAGAATATTTAATAAGAAAAATATTAAAATATATTTTCTTGGCTATATGCAACTTCTGATACATGATGTCTGGACAAAAAAATGTGAACTGTTACCAATTAACCTGTCTAATTTAGGCAGATTTCAAACAAGTACTGAGCAGTGTTACAGAAGCGCAGGCAGGGTAACTTACTCCGTTAATGGGTAAGTTCTGAAGACAGTATTTCAATCATCAAATTATCAGTGCCAATCTGATCATACGGCTGTCATTGTTAGTATGACTGGTAGAGAAGCTACTGGGGAGAACTTAAAATTTTGTTTTCCTTCTTGGGATATTCTTGTTGCTGTCTGAACTCTAATCCAAATACTTCTTCAAGAAGAGGCCACTGCTGAGAGGAATAAGCAGGTCCCACGTGATGGGAGTGGAGCACCAGACCCACCAGTCCTCTAAGCTCCCAGCCTCAGACACGACTGCCTGCACGCTCTGACGCCAACTCCCAGAGGGATTTTCCCCTGAAATGAGTTTCAAGCAACTTTAGTTCCCATCACTACTGTCCATTTGTCACAACTGAAAATATATTCATTATATTATGAAAAGTTTCTTTTATCCCTTACTTGCTAATTATGATTGAGACCAGAAACATACACAGCTTCAAAAAAACAACTGAAGGGAACATCTGTAAATAATTTCCCCTATTCTTTGTTGTTCTGCTACTCACGGCATATCTTCCAATCTGGAGGCTTCGTGTCTTGGATCCAATAGATCATAACCGCATTCATTGTAGATTTCCAAATAGGAAATGTGTGTTGTATATATTTTGCTGCTGTCCTGATTGGAAAGGGGAAAGACATTATTTAATGACTATAAATAACAATTCGGCTTAGACAAAGATGAATACATTTATCACAATGGTTTCCTCACATTTTTTTTTTTTCCTTTTCTCTCTCACTTTACATGGTTTACATTTTTGGACCATGACACTTTCAAGTTGCCAGCTACCATATGTAGGAAGTTTTTTTTTTTTTAATGGCCAACACCCATGATTACAAGTAACTTCAGTCTGTTATATTTTATTGATTTCACGTTATACATAAAAAGTCAATATACACTTACAATGAGCCAACTTGGTTGCAGAACTGTATACCACACCATTTTTCTCTTTCCAGGCTCACCCCCCAAATAAGGTTACTAAGAAAAAACAAGCTTACATTCTGTGAAAAGTCTATTCATAAGCAAACACAGATCATTACTTTGGTTCAAAAGTTGTATCTTTCTAAAAGAATTAAAAGAATCATACCACAGTGATATATGCGCACCTATGTTTATAGTGGCACAGTTTGTAATAGATAAAACTTGGAAACAGCCCATTTGCCCATCAGTTGGAGACTGGACAAAGAAGATGTGGCTTTCCTATAAAATGGAATACTACTCAGCCATAAAGAATGAGAAAGTAGATTCATTCATAGGTAAATGGGTACATTTTAAGGATATACTCCTAAGTGAAATAAATAAGTCACACATGTGTAAATATGGAATAGTTTCTCTGGTGTGAAAAACTATAATGGTACATAAGATCCTAATGATATAACTGACAATGTGAAATAGGAAGAAGAGGTCTAAAGGTGTAGGGGAAGTGGGAAGGGTAGGGGAAAGGTAATAAGGGAAAAGAAAAAAAATGAGAAAATGAAAAAATGGAAATAAAGTATTTGTAAATAGGGAAGGGAGGAGGAAAAGTATTTGAATAGGGAAGGGAGGAGGGCATGAAGGGAGGGCAGGAATAAGGGGAAAAAATGAGAACCAAGACCTGTCATGTAAAGGTACAAGATCCCAATAATGAATGTAACTGTACCGTGTACCTAAAATGTACCAATAAACTCAATGAGAAAAAACAATTTCAGTAGCAAATAGTTTCAATCTTTTTTTCTGCTAATGGGGATCAAACTCAGGTCCTTGCGCTTGCAAGGCAGTCACCAGAACCACTGAGCTAAATCCCCAGCTCAATCATTTTTTTTTTTTTTTTTTTTT